AAAAAAAACATAAAAGTTTAAAAAAATAATATACCTCCCTGATATGTATTATAATAATAACGAAAATTATGTTAAATCTTAAATCCCCTTGGTAATGATCGATTTTGAGCAGGCAGAAATAAATGCCTTTGCACATTCATTTCCGTCAATAACTGTAAGAGGGTGTTTTTTTCATATGACCCAAGCGATTTAGAGACATATACAGAGTGAGGGCGAGTTATTAGCACATTATTAAGATAAAGATGCAGGATATGAGTGGTCTATAAAAATTAGACAAATGCTCTCTCTTGCATTTGTTCCCATAGATGATGTAGTTGATGCTTTTTATGGACTTACACAAACACCATTCTATCAAGATAATGAAAGGATCTTATATAATCTTATAACATATTAATATAGTAATCAAAGCACTTTATAAGAACATAAATTTAAGAATAGTATTAATGGAGAAAGACACCAACAAGGTTTCCAATTCCACTTTATATGCTGCTACATTGGAGTGAATCCCAAAAACAAATAATGCAGTTGAAGGTATTTTTCTAAAAATTTGCTATCTTTTTAATCATTATTACACATCATTTTTTATAATTTATTTCGCAATTTTTTACTATAAGTGGGCATAGAGCATTCTCATCTCTGCTATCATCGCATCAGCGTCTGCATGACAGGATTTTCACTGGATGCAAACCCCCTTCAAAAACCTTTTCCTACCCCCCTAAAAAATTCCTGCCGCCTTCTGAGGAGATGTCTCTATCTCATTATTTTCGCAGAGTTGTACATTTGCTCAAAATAAAAAGATCTTCAAAGATCTAGATCTTTGATCGTAAAATTTGAAGATTTTTATTTATAAAAAAATTTGAGCAACGATCTTCAAAGGTCTTCATGATATTTATTTTTTTTACCCCTTTATTAAAAGCCCAGATGTTTTTCAATTTTATTAATATAATATTTCTTTTATGTTTTATACCTCTCCTCCTGCCTTGATGAAAGAAAAAAATATTATTTATTTTTTAAGCATGTTAAATTAAAATATAAATTCAATAAAGATGCACCGACAATTTTCATAATCGTATTTTATAAAAAAAGTTTTACCACAGAAGGGTAAAAATTTAATTTATATTATTAATAAAATGTTAAATTCAGAAAAGCGATAATTTTTCTAATCGTTATTTTTACATAAATGGGTAAAAATTAATATTGTAAAAAAAATTTAAGTTAAAATTTCAATGAAGATGTATTGTAATTTGTAACACAAAAAATTGACAATTGTCATAATCGTTTTACTTAACTTTTTTGATTTTTTTTTACGCAAACAGGTTAAAATTTTTAATATTAAGATGTATAGAATTTAAATAAAGATGTACCATAGAAAAGTGACAATTGTCATAATCGTTATTATATTACTTTACTTTTTTGATTTTTTTTTAAGCATACAGGTTAAAATTTTTATTATTAAGATGTAAAATTTAAATTTAAATAAAGATGTACCATAGATAAGTGCAATTGTCATAATCGTTTTACTTAACATTTTTGATTTTTTTTTACGCAAACAGGTTAAAATTTTTATTATTAAGATGTAAAATTTAAATTTAAATAAAGATGTACCATAGAAAAGTGACAATTGTCATAATCGTTTTACTTAACTTTTTTGATTTTTTTTTATGCAAACAGGTTAGAATTTTTATTATTAAGATGTAAAATTTAAATTTAAATAAAGATGTACCATAGAAAAGTGACAATTGTCATAATCGTTATTACTTAACTTTTTTGATTTTTTATAGGCATACAGGTTAAAATTTTTATTATTAAGATGTAAAATTTAAATTTAAATAGAGATGTACCATAGAAAAGTGACAATTGTTATATTCGTTATAATTTAACTTTTTTGATTTTATTTTGGCGATAATAGGTTAAAATTTATATTAAGAAGATGCAAAATAGAATTTCAATAAAGATGTAGAGGAGACCGGGGATAGTGTGTTCCCGGGGTAGGTATTTCCTTCAAAAAAGTTAAGTAAAACGATTATGACAATTGTCACTTTTCTATGGTACATCTTTATTTAAATTTAAATTTTACATAATAATAAAAATTTTAACCTGTTTGCGTAAAAAAAAATCAAAAATGTTAAGTAAAACGATTATGACAATTGTCACTTATCTATGGTACATCTTTATTTAAATTTAAATTTTACATCTTAATAATAAAAATTTTAACCTGTATGCTTAAAAAAAAATCAAAAAAGTAAAGTAATATAATAACGATTATGACAATTGTCACTTTTCTTTGGTACATCTTTATTTAAATTCTATACATCTTAATATTAAAAATTTTAACCTGTTTGCGTAAAAAAAAATCAAAAAAGTGAAGTAAAACGATTATGACAATTGTCAATTTTTTGTGTTACAAATTACAATACATCTTCATTGAAATTTTAACTTAAATCTTTTTTACAATATTAATTTTTACCCATTTATGTAAAAATAACGATTAGAAAAATTATCGCTCTTCTGAATTTAACATTTTATTAATAATATAATAAATTAAATTTTTACCCTTCTGTGGAAAAACTTTTTTTATAAAATACGATTATGAAAATTGTCGGTGCATCTTTATTGAATTTATATTTTAATTTAACATGCTTAAAAAATAAATAATATTTTTTTCTTTCATCAAGGCAGGAGGAGAGGTATAAAACATAAAAGAAATAATATATTAATAAAATTGAAAAACATCTGGGCTTTTAATAAAGGGGTAAAAAAATAAATATCATGAAGATCTTTGAAGATCGTTACACAAAATTTTTAAAAAATAAAAGATCTTCAAATTTTACGATCTTCAAATATCTAGCTCAAATTTTTTTATAAATAAAAGATCTTCAAATTTTACGATCTTCAATTGCTCAAATTTTTGAGCTAGATCTCGCTCAAAAATCTTCAAAGAAGATCTTTTGTACAACTCTGTTTTCACCTATTTATTTATTGATACTCTTTTCAAATAATCTATAAAGGATAACTTAAATTAATCTATCTCTACTACCAACTATCGATATTTTGTGAATATAAGGAATTTATTTTTTAGATAATAAATTTAATTAAAACCTCCATTATTTACAATGAATTAATTATTATGGCATTATGAGCTTGCTGAAATATCTAAACCGTTTAAATTATATTTAAAAGGATAGTTTATTTGGAAAACAATGTGTATGATTGTTTGCAATATATAGATTTGGTCGATGAATTGTATTATAATTATACTATAATAAAAGTATTAATTTTTACAGCAATAAACTGTCTTATTTTATCTCAAAATTTAATAGATAACCACCCAAAAAAATTTATCCTACCCCCATTAAAGCAGCTTACCCCCTACCCCCTCAAAAAAATAGGATGCAAACTGTTCCTACCCCTCCCGCTCATGTAGACGCTGCATCGCATCATCCCTCTATTTGGAAATTTTTAGATACTCTGCAGTTTGAACAATCTTTAACCGAAGCAAAAATTGAACAATATATTTCTAGTACGTAACCCAAAGTGGTATAGGGATACGGCTGAAAATATTAAATTAATTGTATCTGGCTATGTAAATCGCCCGATTAACGATAGAGGGATCGCATATAATTTTAATTAACAAATATAATGTTTTTTTTAATAGCATGTTTTGTATAGTATATTTATATTTTCTATATTTGTTTTATAAATATATAAAAAAAATTGTGCGTTAATTCATCTTTGATTTATATAATAGAAAAAATTAGCCTAAGCATAATATATTTTTTTTATAAGGATTAATAGAATTTAAGGATTTTTAATAAATCTAAAAAATGAGTCAGTATTAATTTGATTTTTTTTGGATCATGGCTAGGTCTATTTTTAAAAACGGTCGATTTAAATTCTACCCAAAATAATATGTAAGATTTGAGATAGAGGTCCAAACCTTTCTTTTTTCTTTCTTTCTTCTATGCCCAAAATCTCGGTTTACATAACATTGGCTACTAATCAACATACCTTATGTGGTAAATTGGTCAACCAAAAAAATAGGTATAAATAATGGTTGTTAATTATTTTTTGATATTACACATTTAGTAAATAAAATTAAGATTTTTGTAACAATAAATATGAAGAAATAATTAATAATACCAACATTCAAAATGATTTCTATTTAATCATTCTTATTTTTTTATACTAAGTAATATATAATAAATTGCAACTGTAATAGATACGCACCGAATTGTCGCCGGGCCGAAATTTTCTCGCCGAATTGACGTGATACCCAAATTTAAAAACATAAAAAAAATATAAATTTTAACATAAGTTATTACTACTTTTAAAATAAAAATATATTTAAATTCTTTATTATTTTGTATAAATTAGATATATTTAAGATATATTAAATTATTTGTTGATTATAAAACCAGGATAATTTTTTTTAGTAAAAAAGTAAAAATTTTACCATTTTAATAAATAACTTAATTTAAACAATTATTCATTAGATAAAACCACTGGCGTGTCTAGGATTTTGCTATGGAGGGTGGGGGGAGCACTATTATTTAAATTTTACCGGCCTGTGACTATATTAGATTTTTGGGCTTCCACTTTCATTTTGTTAAAATGCTTATTTTCTAAAATTAGTAACTATAATTATGTCTAAAAATTTCGATTTGAATTTTTTGTCTAATGAAAACTTCTTTTTTATATATTGAATGTCTAAAATAGTCTCATTATTTATAATAATTAAATAATATCTTACATTTTTTTAAAAAATTTTTTTGAAAACTTTTTAGCAATAAGAATATCCAAAATGGTATCATTTAATATATACTATATTTTACAAAATTTATATATTTAGATTTGTTATTATAAATTTTTTTTTATCAATTAATTATTATAGAAGATTAAAATATTCATTTAAAAATTAATTGAACAAGAGCAATTTAGAGAAAATCATAGAATAGTAATATGTATTGTATCGAAATACGACACATCCTACCTGTCAATTAAGCTGTCTAATTTGTGGGATGTATTAAAAGTATTCCGGTGCTTGCTAGCCATTTTAGTTAATATAATATTTTTTTTGAAACACAATATGACTAGGGATCTCTATCATCAAACTCCTCAGAAACTTGAAGTGATGAATTCTTATACCCATCGTTATACTTATTGTATGTTTTTAGGTTGATAGTGAAATAAGTAGTGGTGAAGAAATGCAGCCTCAAGATATAATCAAAGATTCTGATAAAATGGTTACCTTATCACAGATTAAACACCTCTCGAAGTGCATCAAAACTATAAATGACTTTGAAAAATATTTTAAAAAATTAACTTTTGCATTACAAGCAATTCTTAATATAGCTGATGAGCAGAATGATAAACATTCCCGAGATGGAAAAAGTTTTTTTTTATTTTTATTTATAATTTATTTTTTTAAATAGTATTTAATGCTATAGTGCAAACTTGTCTTATAGATGTTGAACCAGCTCTTAATAATTTTTTTCAAATCTCACCAAATGCAAAACCAGAAATATGGTTAGAAACTCTTAAAACAATTAAGTTTAAGAGGAATAGAACTTGCTTTTATCAGTATTTGTCTAATATAATTCATGTAAATTGATAAAGTTTTAACTAATTATATCATAATTATAGTTATCAAATCAATTATCATCGAAGGACTCATTACTAGCAGTTTTAAATCACATTAAAAGTTTGCTGCCAATCTTTTTATACTTTTCAAAGTTATTCAAGGATTTTTTAAATTTAATCATAAAGAGATGGGCTACCGACAATGATGAAACTCTACGAATATTATCATTTTTAATCATTGCCAATGTCATAAAAATTATTGAAATTATTAATAATGATACTAATCATGATTTTAATAAAGTGTTGGTAAATAATGGTCAAAAAAAATCAAAGATAAACTCAGGAAATTTTTCATACTTGATATTTATAAAGGTTTATTATTTAATTTACATATTCATAAAAAATTTATTTATTTTGACAATTGATAATGTATGGCCTCAAAAAATATTTCTTTGACTTAAAAATATCACTTTATTAATTCTTTATTCAATATTGTTTATGTAAAAATCTTATTTACAGAAAATGTACAAGACCTATGTTGCAAATGTCAAATTTACTAGCCAAGAAAATTTACCCATGATACATTTTATGCAAAAAACATTTATAGAAATACTAAATTTGAATTTAAATGAATCTTACAAATTTGCCTTTATTAATATTAGACAGCTTGGTGTACAATTAAGAAATGCTTTTAATACAAAACAAAATGTAAGCCAAATTTTAATATGGCATGGAATGAAAATAATAGTTATAAACTAGAGATGTACAGGATCAATAATTGATACTAGATTAGGGTGGATCTTCCCTTTTTGGATTCACTTGTTTTACCAAAGTAGCTGATTTTTGCTTGACTTTTTTGAAGATGTAATATATAACTAAAGCTGTAATAACTAATTACTTTCTACAAAAATTAGGTAACCATGTTACAATTGACATATTGAAGTAACAGCAATTTTTACATTATTCATTACCTTGCATTTTATTAGAGCTACACTAATATTGAATATTGGATAAGATCAGTATCGATATTTAGCATTTATATAATATTTATTTGGGAAAAGTATTTTAAAATATTTAACAAGTCATATTCAGCTATTATTAAAGAGCTTGATTTAGCCAATTTTTAAAAAGAGTGAAGTGTATATATTTTTCCCACAAATTGTAGAAAGTTTTGGACTTATATTGGTGAATTTTGAGGTTTAGGTAATAATATTTTAGCTAAAATCTGATTTAGCCTTTTTAAAATTTGCTTAAATAGATCTGTATAACAACCCTTAATCTATAAACACTCCAAAATGAGATTATTAACTTTTTAAAAATAAAAAAATAAAATCATTTATTCATTCTTTAATGCTAGTTAGTTCTTTATAAAATAAAAAATATATTTTTATTACACTGGTGCCAAGATAAATGGTAAATAAAAATTAATATAAATATCAGAGACCTGGCATGGCCCAGATACACGGGCCATGCTGCATTTTAATTTTTTTGAATATACCTAGTGTTGTTAATCGACTAAGTCTAGTCGACTTAGCCAAAAACTGGAGTCAAGTCTATCAACTTGAGTCGACTAGAGGACGAATAGTTTTATAAACTTAGTCGACTAGAGGAGAATAGTTTTATAAACTTAGTCAACTAGAGGAGAATAGTTTTATGAACTTAGTCGACTAGAAGACGAATAGTTTTATCAACTTAGTCGACTAGAGTACGAATAGTTTTATGAACTTAGTCTACTAGAGGACGAATAGTTCTATGAACTTGAGTCATCTACTAGAGGACAAATAATTTTATGAACTTGAGGCGTCAACTAGTGTACGAATAGTTCTATGAACTTGAGTATACTAAAGGACGAAGATTTTAAATTAGTTATTATTTATAAAACATTTTTTTATTTTTAACTTTAGATTTCCAACTTGAGTCGTTATATGAAATATAATATACTTGATAGTGATCTGCATCAGGCCTAATTTTTCAAGCCAGGCCTGAAATTTTTTTTAAAAAGTTTTGCCGGCTCGGCCCGAACCCGAAATGTTTTTAAAAAAGTTTTGCCGACTTGGCCTGGCCCGAATTATTTAAATATACAAAGTCATTTTTATAATTACTCATTTCAATATATAAAATCAAATATATTTATTTTACAATAAACATTCAATATATTGATACAGACCTGCCCGATTTTTTTTATTTAAAATATTAGGCCTGGCTCGAACCCGACTCTTTTAAATAGAATTAGGCCCAAGCCCGACCCCATGCCCATTTGGGCCGGGCCAGAGAACAAATGAATTATTGGAAATGGGGAAGATCGTGATTTAAATTTAGTCTAGAATTTTTAATATATTTTTTTTAAAGCTTTTATCAGAATTGTGAACATTATAACAATTTAATATAATATAGCGATACACTTTATACCAACAAGATGTTTATTATACAGGGTTGCATGTGTTTTATTTGGTGATATAATAAAAACAAAAACTATTAAGTGGTAAAATTATTAATTATGAAGTTTTTAAAAACATAAATGGGTCATTCCATGTCAAATGAGCAAAAAAAAATGAGATTTTCGGCCGACCCCCTTCGATTTTTTTAAAATTTAGTAAGCAAAGAAAGGTTAGTGTAGTTAAGAAATAGCCAAAATTTTAGCATCGTAACATTTATATTTTTGGAGATATTAGGGTTCAAAGTGGCAAAAATGACATATTTTTACCATTATCTGCCTTCATTCAATTAAGCATATATTAAAAACTATCTAATTGTAAATAACAAATTTAATATCAAAATTACGTACAAAGATTCTACTTTTAGATAAAAAAAAAATTTTTTTTTCAATTTCCGGCCATTTTATTAAATATATAAGGACTAAAAACGATTTTTTAGAAATTATACGACCTTCAATTTTTTTAAAAAATTTAGTAGACAACACTGAACTCTTCCTTTATATTTATAAAAAAAAATTGGTCTGGGACGAGGCCATCTTCATTCTCAAAATCGATAAAAATGTTTAGAAAAGTGTATAAATATTTTCCCGAAAGGGGGCGTCTTTGCATAAATTTATATTTAAATCAGTTTTTAATGGTTTTTCTTAGACTATTTGATATAATTTAAAGGAGTATTTATCTTGTAAGTGAAAATAACAATAAATGGGCATTCAATTATAGAAATTGCCTATCGATAAAAGAAATTCAATTTATTACTTTATTTATAATTTTTTATAAAATTTTTTGCTAATATAACATATATTAATATTAATAAAATATATTCAGCCAAATTTATACTTCTTGAATATATGAATCAGAATCTTTAGCATTTCATATATGGCGCCCTAAATATTAAAAATAATTGATATAATATAAATTTTAAAATCTAATATATAACTCACTTTTAAAAGATTCTAATTTTTCGGTAGCGCATTTACTTTCTTGTGACGACAATGTGTAACTACGGCCAGTAGCAGTTAACGGTGAAACTAATGTTAAGATATGACATTTTGGCAAGTAGCGAGTGTCGTCTATACTTGAAAATGTAAAGGAATTAGAAGGTCCGGATGGGTGTAAAAACTTTATATATATTTCTTCCTCCTTTTGATTTTTCCCTAAAACTAAGGCTAACCACTAATTAGAATCATAAACACATGTTATATACCCTGATATCTCTCCAAAAATGATACTTTCATCATTATATGATAAATATTCTATATTACTTTCTATTGAATTGGAATACATTTTACTCTTAAATTGATGTAGACCTGTGGGAATCACCGTGTGAATTTTCTGTGTTCCAGGTATAGGTCTCGTTTTTGAAAACCTTTCCCTGAGTAATATTTCTTCGTGATCATAATTTTCCTGGGTCATATATTCAAAATATATGCCATTAATATTTTCTTTAGCGAACTCGTACAATTCATATGATGTGGTTATTTGCTTTGAGTAAGGTCTTTGTAAACTAGCTCTAGCGGCTAATCTTTTAACAGTGCCACCAATCCCATCACAAACACTTTTCCCATGTGCTGTAGCAGAAAAATGCCATTCTGCCTGTATCCCGAAATCCATCTCATGATGGCAAATATTAATAAAATTTTTACGATTTTTATACTGTGCAGCAGATCCATCGGAAAAATAAAAAATTTTATTTGGCATACAAATTTTATTAATTAAAAAATTTACCAATGTTTTTTGGAAATAATGTACTGCTATTGTATTGTGTTGCAAAGATTGGGATATCATTACATAATTTAGGCAACAAATATTGGCTAAATTATCTTTATAATATATAACAAAAGGGTGAACAGTGGATTGAGCTCTATTCCAATGATAACTTTGTACTTCATCCTGAAGTATAAAGCTGTAGTTTTCTGAAAAATCACATAAAATTAAATATTGGCCTTTGTCTAAGTTCAATTTTAGATTTTTTTGATACAATGATTGTTGCGTTGAAATAAAAGAATGGGGTAATAAAGATTCCATTTTTTCAAAAAAGGCATTGATAAATTCATCTACTGGCTTGGTTATTGTTTCAAGAGTGGTTCTATCTACGGATAGCCATTGTTTGTATGTTATAAATTCGATGTCCTTAGAACGAAACAATATTTCTATTTGGTGGCGTAAATTTGTTGACCCTGGACAATTATCACATTTGCCCAAATAACAGGATGGTTGAGGCGGATTACAAATTATTAAGGGTAAAATATGTTTATATGTTTTAATGGGCAACATATCATCTTTGGTTAAATTGGGTAAATTTGATCCAATGATCATTAATTTAAAATTTTGGTGGTAGCTGCAAACACAAACATTATGTCTACCACTACCTCCTACGAGTATACAATTTTTTGGGCGAATTCTTGCAAATTTCGAAAAACCGATTTTAACATCAGGCCTCATTTCTTTAAAAAATATATAAATTTCTTTCAAATTATCTAAAATTAATCTCTTTTGTATTGTATTCTTTTTTCCGTCTTCGGTCAAAATTGAAAGGCAATCTTTCTTGCCTGGCATGATTCTGCTTATTTCGTCCGTACAATAAAATTCTTGTACAATTTTAACTGTACATTCGTCTATAGTATTTCCAGGCTTGGGGTTAGGGGTTGATAAAAATCCCTTTTCCGCTATCAATAATTTAGCTTGTCTTGCCATGTATTTTGTTGTAATAAATTCATTCATTATTTTGGACACTGTCCAATTCTTTGGTAATATCGTCAAAATTTTATATTTATCAGTTTTAGATAAGAGTGAAATTTTTTTTTAATATTAATTAGAATACCATCATCTTTATCGATAGTAGCTGGCTCAATCGCATTTATATCTAAATGAGTTTCTATAGCCTTTTTTATTTTGGTAATTTTTTTAATTGGATATCTTTTTTCTCTCAACCTTTTCTTTTTTATTGGAGATTCTCCAATTTCTATCAATGATGTATTAATTGATTCATAAGCCAGGTTCTCTTCGATATGATGAATATCATGGTCTTTAAATGCGTCATTTGACTTACTAGCTGTTCCGAGTTTTCTTCGACATTTATCACATATCTTATCATCTGAGTGAAGTGACATCCAAGATTGTACATTTCTAAGATTTGTAGTTACATTATTATGTTTTAGTATTTTAAAAGGGTTACAGCATCTAGTTTTTCGAATAAGATTGTTCATTTTATTGAAATTCTATATGATAAAACAAATTAATTTATAAAAATATCACCGAATATCTAATAATTAC